TATGTCCGCGACTACAGCAATAGGCTTTTCTCGAAAGCGCAACAGAACACCAACAAGCTCGGCAATCGTATCAGGTCCTTGATATAGCTTATCGTTCAAAGAATAACCTCTAAAGGTTGCGGCGCAATCTAGAACTATTCTCAGTTTATCTGGCTTTTTCGGATTCATTACGGGATGATGTGAAAGATGCCACCTCGAGTGATAGTTGGCTGCTAGCTGCTCTGGGGGTATCGGAAGGGCATAACCATTTTTTAACATTGTATTTATCCCATCCACATATCGTGCTAAAAGGTCCTTGTCACGCGATAACCTCGGTTTCAGACTGAGTAACGATTTATGGCGACTACATAATAATTGTCCGTTACCTTTGCTGGATCTTTCCATGGCAGGGGAATTATGTAATGCCCCTTTTCTAAGACGGTGCTCTGAGTAACCAACTCGATTGCCTTATGATCTTCGATAGGAAATGAGTGTTCGTTTTCTTCAGTATCCTTAAACTCAGCTTCATATAGCCTTCTGATGTCGTCTTTGATACTCGATTCGCTGAGTCGAGCGTAGTTGACAGTGCCTCATTTCGTATTTCAATGAAGTGACCCTAGCAAGACCCAACCGAGCAATGTCTTGATTGCGTAAGGTTGTTTTAGACTACCCAAACGCTGATCGAGGAGCAAATGCGCCTCGGGAACATCGCAGCCTATGAGCATTGTAACCCTTTTATCATCAAGTTCACGGAATGGCAATTCCTGGAGATGTGGCCAGCGATGGGCCTCTTGTAATATCGATAGTGAGGGTGCACTGACCGGCAGGGATGGCAACGCGAACACTCTGTCAAGTTTTATCATTTCATTTTCACCCATTGATGCGACTTCCAGTTCGCACATGCTGCCCTGAACCTGACTCGCACCATTGATTGTTGTCAAGGTCATAGACGATGGTGTACCCTCAAGGCCTAAGCTGCTTAATAGATCCTTCGCAACTAAGGTAACGTCAGGGCCGTTATCCAGAAAGGCATAAGTATCTATTTCCTTACCGTGGGCCCGCTTCTTGACGTGGATCACACCTAGCATAACTGCCATTCCATAATGCATAGTAGCAGCACATGTCGCCTGTTCTGACACTTGATTTACGATCGGTTCAACATGTAGTAGTGGGTGATGTTTGCCGCTGCAATGACCTTTGGAACACTTAATACCCGATACTCAATGATCGATACGATGTCCAACCTCTAAGCACAAAAAGCATGCTCTGTGGCGGCGGACGCAGCTCCATCTGTCTCGCACATCTAATCCAACGAACTTCTGACATGAAGCAGTAGCGTGGTCAGACCTGAAGAGGATACACAGTCGCTTGGGTGCAGGGCTCCTTTATCCCTGTATTGCGAATGATGTGCCCCCATGACGACCCTGTCTATTTAGTGAAACTTGGGCGTTCGGGCGGTTAAAGGCCTCTGAAACGAGTTGTCCGTATCGGCTTCGTGCCACTCTTGCCTCTGTAGAAACAAACTGGCAAAGATCCTGAAAAGATGGCTCTTGCCCTTCTTAATTCCTTGCGTCTGCTAGTCCTGCCCAATTCCTTCGAATTGCTATCGGCAGTATGCGTACTATTCTCTCGAGAGTTGTTACGGAATTTAAGTCAGACAAATAGTTCATTTCAGTTTGGGCAATCAGGCAATTCTGAAGCTGTATTGATAGACGGGATAGAGCTTCTCCATCTTCTGCCACAGGTCGTAGGCTTCTAATCATGTCTTCAATACGGTTTCGTGCGATGACGTGGATCTCTCCAAACAGGTCCTGTAAGGTACCCTTAGCTTGCGTATACGCACTCTCAGGACGCAAGATCACGCATTCATGTATGGCTGCTTTAGCTCAACCCTTACAATAGTGCAACAGATATAACATTCTCTGACCAGGGTCCTTTACTCTATTCTCGACATAATATTCGAATTCCTTGGTAAATCTCAAGTAGTCAGTACAGTTGCCATCAAAATAGGACATTTCAACCTTAGGCATGTCAAGTTTCTCTACGACCGCGCTCTTCCTGATCGTAACAGGAGCGTCCCCGCCAACCACTGCGGCACAATCTTTCACATATCGTTCTAGTTGCTCCCGGTTATCAATGACACTGCCTATTTCATATTCCTCAACGTTACGTTCGTCGTCCGCGGCTAACTTCACATGCAGCTCGGCCATTTCGACATCATGTCTAGCCTTCAGCAACTTTTTCTCTAACTATAACTCCTGTCGGAGCTGTTTCTCTTTTAGCTGCGCCCTTAGTAGCGACGACTTAGCACTAGTGACTCGCGATAATGATGATTTCGAACTACTGACATGAGAGCCGGGACACGAAAGATTATCAACATGATGATTTATACAAACGATGCCTTGCCAACTCTCCGACTGCTGCTTCGAAATTTGCTTCCGTGATCTGGTTTGCATTGTTCCAAAGAAAATGTATTTTTAACAACGTTGCGTGCTGCCAATTCACCACAGTTTCTTCTGGATGAACGTTCAGTACTGACCAGTTCAGCACTGTCTTTTTTGTTTGACGTTAAGACCTGACCAGTTTAGTACGGTCTTTTCCGCCAAGGCATTAAGTACTGTGAGCGGAATATCGCTTGAAATTAAGTCACGCGTAGATAAAGGCTATCCCGGTCCAGAACAAACAAGAAACCGGTCACTATTTCTACGGTACTATTAATAAACAAATCAATAATTATACATACAACAAACCTTAACGGTTTCAAGAGTACAAAGCACAACACTTAACAGAAAGCAAGGTACCGCTTTCAGAGCGGAATAACGCTAAAGCCCAAATTGCTAACTGGCAGGAATCAGACACGACCGTTCAGGTAATAATAATAATTTTTTATTTCTGGAACAGAAACCAGCCATTTTTACAGGCATGAACAAATGTACACTAATTAGAACTTATAGAATATATATGATTTGTTAATCTAGAAATAGATTGAATACTGGTAAATTTGAGAGAAATATTTAAAAAGAAATGTACAAATAAGGCAATAGGTAATTTTCGAGATATGCTTTCAACTGAATAATTCATGAGATATAGCATCAAATAAAAACTGTAATTGAAAAAAAAATACGGTATGTCAATTTCACGCCGGAATTATACACGATTACGTTAATCGTGGAAGGTAAGTAGCATTTTTGTACAGGTGCTGACGTGAAATATAAGAGATGCGGAATGAACAGTAATTGTAAGTAAATGATTCATAGAGTGTTTGAAAGTCCATAAAACTTCAAATTCACCGGTAAGTACACCATAATTGTGACACTTCCAGTTGTATATGAGACCAACTTTGAACTTGTCAGCAGATTTCATGATAGAGGTGGTTCCGTTATTCACCAGGTGGGCTGGCAACATTCCGAATTAGTTGAGGATAGCGGCACTGATTCAGTGCCTTCGTTTAAGGCAGTACCTTTGAAAAGAGAAGAAGACACAAGGAAACCGGCAGAGAGGTGCAGAAGTATATAATAGGTGTTAATAATTAAAAACATATATAAAAAACATGGGGTTCACCATTTTGTTGTTGTTTTTTTTCATTTAAAAAATACTATTTCCCCCTGAGATTTTCTAGTGATGGAATTCTAGTCTTTCTTGCTAAAAGAAAAAAAGTTTAAGTGAAAAAAAGATGATAATTTTACCTACTTATATAGGTTGAATAGGAGTTAAACACAAAAGTCAAAGTGCGTGAACTATGTAGAAAAGCGAGGGCTTAATAATAACTACTGTTTTTCTCAAGTATACATTTAGGTGTCCTTCTGAAGTAGGGGACTCATACCATGTGCTTGCATTCGAGGAGTTTGTTATTTAAACTTCAGCTTTAGGTAAATTTTCAACTTCTGTTGTCTTTTTTTAAATTTTATTTATTCTCTTATTTTGCAGAAGCCAGTCAGTAGAAGAGTGAACCCAAGTAAGGCAGGCTATAGAACAGAGAGCGGTTAAGAGATAGACAGAGCATAGGCACAAAGATAGAATTTAATTGGCTACTTAACCAGGTAGGCTGGTACAGATGAAGATCAATAAATAAGATAAACTCGACAGAATAGTACAAAGTAAGACATGGGTCAGCAAAAATAACAGTTCACAAAATACTCTGATTGGGCCATGAGTTCAACGGTCTGACTAAACGGGTCGATGTAAAAACACATACACACAGTTCATTAGACAAGGGGGATATACACGTTAGGCATGGATAATTGGGTTGCAACAACGCTAGGCTGATCCGGGACAGGTTGACTTGATTCAAGGGTGGGAAGTGAATTGATCTAACACTGACTATGACAAGTGGATTCCAAGAGACAAAAGTTCGGCAAACATTGGCTGGAAATCACGAGCCGGATTCAAGAATCTGCACAGATCCAGAGGAAATGCACTTCCCCTGCAGCTTGCAATACATGACGAATTTCTCAAAATTTACCACGACTAAGGATTTTAGCGACTTTATCTTACAAATGATTGAATTTCTTTGTGCAGCAGCTGCCGTTGTTAGCACAAACGTATAACACCCGAAGCAGAAGTTAAGACAGGGTTTGTCTTTAATCAATACGCAGGTAGCTGGGTATTACCACACTTAATCCGTTTATGCGTAGAGATTTTATGCAGGTTTCCAGTTCGAACTTCAAATATTTGTACCACCTACATCTTTGAGGAGGTACAGTAATCCTTCAGCGAACATGCAAAAAATCGATGGTCCAATCCTGGACTGGTGTGAAAATCATTCCCTTGGTACTTGCCCTTTACCCTCCTTGCATTCTCTATATATTTTCTTCTGTTGAGTAAATTTATTCAATTCAGGATTTATCGTATGAATTTCCTTTTCTCAGTGTAGCGAAAACAAAACCTATATTATAACACTAATCAATGTTTTATTCTCTCTATTTGCAGGAATTCAACTTTCTGGACCAGGAGATACAAGAATTACAGAACCTTCAACATTAAGGAGGACTATTAAAACTGTTATACTCAAAAACTGTACACCCGCACTTTTTAAAAGTCAATTTCGTGGAATAAACGCTCTCCTGCACAGCTCGTGTTCTGCTGTGATTACCTGTGTGTCTGCTGGTTTGCCTGTTACGTCAGCTCTCATCTCACACCCTTTTTCGTGGAGGACAGCATGGTGAGACAACAGCTGCTAATGACACCGGTTAGCCTATGCATACAGTATTCATCCATACTACTTAAAACTGAGGAACAGGTCTACAGAATCGGTATCCTAAAAAATATCTGGAATCGTGTTGCGACATCAAAAAATCGAGTGCTAAATATCACTAGGTTAATGCTGGCACGTCACAGAAGCAATGGATATTGAAAGTGTTATGGTAATGACCTAGGATCCTAGGTCATTGTAGCAGTCGACTAATACAAATTTGAGATGGCACTGTTCGTTATTGCAGGTAGGATGAATGGATACTTCGCTTTGTCAACTTTGACTTTCAAATCATTTCCTATTGATTGAAAGGCTAGATACCTACATAATTAAGATATTTAGGTGTTAAAATGACGTCTGGATGTCGTGAATTAATTGCAACCCAGTTAGAGAATGCACGTGCGTTCTACAAACCGTACACGTAATAATCAGCTGAGGTGTCAAGTATATTTTCTTCGGCGGCACTAACAATTACAACCAAAACTCTACGGTTTTAAGAACTAAAGCTACACAACCGCGCGACCCTTGAATACGACGTGCATTTTCCTCTCTAATCGGAAAATACCTATTTTGTGAATTATCCGCGTGAGAAACCTGATCTTCCTAGCCGGTGAATTGAATTCCATCATTACTTCCATATCAAAACTCTGTGGGGTAAGTTCAGCTGTTTCGAACTACTTCAAAAACTTCAGGTGGTATATCTGTTGCAGCATCTTCGTCACTCGTTCAGATGAACAGGACTTGTTGGTCTGCCACGTGATTGCTGTGAAACCGAGTAACCAAAATGTACTAGGTAAAGTCGAGAAACTTTCATTCTCCCTATTTTGTACGTCATCGATCCTTTTGTTCTTGTTCTATTGAGCAGGCACTGTTGCCACCTCTTATTCATATGTAAGCATAAGTTATAGTAATTGTTAATATGGCGGTTGAAAGTAGTCTTGAAAAAAGCACTAAGACACCATATTTTGAAGTGTCTAGGGCTTCAGCCAGAGGAGGCAATAACCCAGGGACATCAACCCCATCTCGCATACCGATTCTAGAGGCCCGTGTACATCTCCCCTGTTCTGATACAATGTCTACGTTGCCACAATCTGGCACTGAAACGGCACAGTCAAAACTAAGTGGACATGATACTGCACTTATTTCCGTTGGAAGCCATTGTGTGACAGCAAAACAAAAACATAACGCTCAAGATGTCATAAGACCTCGGAAATGCTTAATAGAAAAGGGAACGAATACCAGCCAGGTCTGTAGTGTTGTCGGTTCTCAAATTGATTCAGCATTTGATTTCAAATTTCGCAAGCGATGGATGCACTGATGTTGTGACAAACGGGTACCAAAGCCATCTGAATTTCGAAATAACCCTTGTATTCGTGGTTCCGGTACATTTTCCCACTTTGTCGCCCTGGCACAGTCCCACAATTCGAATATCCGGATAGCAAAAACAGCACGATACATTTCTGTCTCGACACAGTCTCATACAGAGTTCCACCTGATCACACCAAACCAACAACATTCGGTAAAACCAAAAGAAGGATACTCCAACCAACCCACTGGAATTATCAACCTTGATAATCTGCAGACTCCTAAAGTTACACCTTGAAAAGTAGTGAAAGACGGAATCAGGACTGAAAGAAGGCTCGCCTATTTCTTTCCTACATAATGATAAGGTATAAACTTTCCATTCTTTCAGCTCAGGGAATGTAGAAAATTATTCTGCGTACTAAGTCACTTTCCTATTCTCTCGTCTTTGCACATACATGTACAATGTACGCTGGTTATACCATCTTAATAATAACAGTATCTAAAGCACTGAGTGGATTACAGAATTCTATGTGGATGGGTAAAAGACACTGGAGTTTTCTGCAACTGTCCAGTTGTGACTGGTATGAATCAGGCCTTTTTGTTACCTGATCGATCCATTGTTGAAAGAAGAAAAATACTAGATTAATTTGTGTCTCCGCCTTTTTGTTGTAATTGATTCCCAAATTCAAGCACCTAAAACAATCTGCCATTTCCTCCGAATCGAGCTGAAGCGCTCATCTGAAGTTTCTGTTATGGGTTGTCCACCGTAGTTTATTATCGTTGGATAGTAGCAAAATGGCAGTTCTTTTTCATATGGAAAGACGAGGTCATCAAAAAGTTCTGACAGGGATTTTGCTAACCACCGGTTCTTGTCTAGATACTATCACGTTAGCATTAAAGAGCGTGTGGGCTTTCCTGGTGAACTTATGCAAGACAGTTTTCCAATTACTCACTGAAAAGTAGATGATTGTCCATAGCCTTCACCGATTGTTGAAGGACTTGATTTTCGGCACATCTATCCGATTTCCTTTTCGTACGAGGTTGCTTTACTCCAAGTCTTCAGCAGTCGAACAAAAGGTACTGTCGAGATGTTTGATCTTGAAAGTATATGGTACTTATCAGGGTACTCCTCGAACTCACGCAGCCATGCACGAGCTTATGGAATGTATTCGTTTGAAGTAATAACCACTGGTGGTATCTTCTCCGAATATATCCACTTTTTGATTCATGTCATCACAGGAGCACTACTGGAGGTTAGTCTACGCGAAATCTACGTCTCAGGGAGATGGTAAATGATAGGAAGAAGTGTCTTTGATAGACCACATGCATATAATGCAGTGCTTCTAGCTGGAAACGCGGACTAAATCGCAACTCCTATATATACCTTGGTGAGAAATCTTAGTATGTTTGTCATGTGGTCCACTCCTATTACAACATATATAAGATGATGGCGTAAGACTGGCCTGCACCGACTTCCAGCTTAAACATAGGTGTTTGCATCAGTACGGACACAAGAGGCTGGTGTGGGTGGCGTTTTCCAACTTATATCATCTGTGGCGAAGACGTCATACCTAGCTGTCGATCGCTTTCGTCGATGAGCGATGTTAGTCGGCATAGGATTAGGTTGGAAAGGGGTTAGGTGTAGTCGAACCAAAACCTGGGAGCAGTCCATGAAGTCTTTGACTGTGGTTGGTTTGAGCTAGCCACGTAGGGAAGTACAAGCTGCCTACTTGGTTGAGATGCTCAGGATGCTAAGAACCCATGTCTGTTTGTGGTATGGCACACGGTCGTTCTCAGTAACACAGATGCATTCACTCTTTGTGATTGGCCATATCGACTAAGCCGTGCTACTATTCCATTTTTACTCAAATTTCCGCTAATTGTAGTCCGTCGGACCTCTTTATTTTCTCTCTCTTGTCTAACTTTGTGTGCTACAACACGGAGTGCGTCAACTTGAACTGCTGAGCCGCTGTGCTCACACACTCCCATGTTAAAACAACTCGGTTGGTTGATTAAGAAACCTACTTCTGAAGAGTGTACACCACATTGAAGCTCCGGCTGTGCAAACTGCGCTAGCGATTTCAGTTCACGAGATAGTTGTTCACGTATCTGGTTCTATGAAGCGTCATTCATTATATTTAAAAACCTACATTGTCTACACCTTTCGTGGATGGAGTTGTAGAAACCTCCTTAACCAATACGTTAAGACCCTAATCACCAATGTTTGCCGCATCTAAAACACACATGGGATTCAATCGCCTTTACGATTTTCACAGCTCTTAAATCAGATTTCTTGTTAACATATCGTTAGTGAAGAGTATCGAATAACTTGTGGGTGTAGTGTGTGATTCCACACTTAAAGTTATGTCAGTTTTACTTTGTAAAGTAGAGTAGGATGACTTGTATCGCCAGAGTTGTTGAGTTGATTACAACTGTTGAAAACGTCAGATAGATAATGACCTGGAACTACTACCACGTTAGCAAAGTTAGTCAAACTTCCTCGTAATCAACGGTAGTTATAAGCCTTCAATTGTCTGTCTGATGTAATTGCTTTAATCGAGGAGGGTGAAATATAAAGTGAATGAGAAAAAGTTTCCGAACCGAAGACAAGAAAGACATCAGTTAACGAAGACGCTGGCAGCTAGTCCGAGCTGTGTACTTTGCTGGACTGGAGCATACTTGGCCACAAACTTAAGGGATTTAACAGGCTCACTAATTATCTCCGTCCGTCTTAATTTATTTCAATTTACCGCTAACAGCTTGTATCCTAAAACACCTTGTCACTACTTTCAAGCTGATGTGTGAATGTGAGGTTTAGTCACTGCGCTCTACCGCAACATTCTCTTGATAATAAATACCATATTCATAACTTCCCTTACTTGTAAAGATCACGAGAAACCTCCCCGCTCAAAGTCACACTACAGATATAGAGATCGTAGTGATACATATGAGCTTTCACGGAAACATCGGGATCGCCACTACTATCATGATTACTACGGAAGAGATGTGGATAGAGACCGGCATCAACACGATAGAGATAGAGAAGAGGGGGATCGAGATGGCCGAAGAGGGCATGAACTGAACCACGGCGAAGAAATGTGGAAGCGTCGTTCACGTTCTAGGAGTCTTGCAAGTGAGAGGGAGACAGAGGCTGTGGTGTATGTGGAAGGAATCAATTTTCGTTGTATAACCACTTTAGTTTTCAGAAACACCAGCAGAACCTGGGATTGAGGAAGAGGCAGAGATTATGCGAACAATGGGGTTTTGCAGATACAATACAACTACACGTGTCCATTTAGTTGTATTGAATCTGCAAAACCCCATTGTTCGCATAATCTCTGCCTCTTCCTCAATCCCAGGTTCTGCTGGTGTTTCTGAAAACTAAAGTGGTTATACAACGAAAATTGATTCCTTCCACATACACCACAGCCTCTGTCTCCCTCTCACTTGCAAGACTCCTAGAACGTGAACGACGCTTCCACATTTCTTCGCCGTGGTTCAGTTCATGCCCTCTTCGGCCATCTCGATCCCCCTCTTCTCTATCTCTATCGTGTTGATGCCGGTCTCTATCCACATCTCTTCCGTAGTAATCATGATAGTAGTGGCGATCCCGATGTTTCCGTGAAAGCTCATATGTATCACTACGATCTCTATATCTGTAGTGTGACTTTGAGCGGGGAGGTTTCTCGTGATCTTTACAAGTAAGGGAAGTTATGAATATGGTATTTATTATCAAGAGAATGTTGCGGTAGAGCGCAGTGACTAAACCTCACATTCACACATCAGCTTGAAAGTAGTGACAAGGTGTTTTAGGATACAAGCTGTTAGCGGTAAATTGAAATAAATTAAGACGGACGGAGATAATTAGTGAGCCTGTTAAATCCCTTAAGTTTGTGGCCAAGTATGCTCCAGTCCAGCAAAGTACACAGCTCGGACTAGCTG